TCCACACGAGTCAAGGTTTTTTCCGTTTTCAGCATGTCCCTGCCACATCCTCCCCTCTCTGTATCACATTGCTTTTCTTCCCACTCTCCTATTAGAACTTAAATTGTCCGTTGCAGCCCATTATTTCCCAGCCAAGAGATTGGTGCCTGCCATGTGCAGGTGTAGCTTATGTTCATGCAATGTTCATTCCATACAGCTCATTCCTGTCCCAGAGCTGGCCTGAATGTTCTAAGAATCTAAACTCTTCCCTCCTAAGCCACCTCTCCGACTACAAATTTACCTGCCAGATCTTCCTGTTAACAATAAAATAACAATCCTTGCATTTGATAGAGTCTTATCACATCTTTGAGATGTCTCAAAGTGCTTTACAGAATATACCATAAAGTAAATTGACTGTATATTTTGTGGGTGAAATGCAGCAGCCAGTTGTGGACAAGCAGTTGTGGATTGAAGTGACCAATTTTTTTTTTTTGAAGGAATTATTACCCCTGTAAAAGCGATCCGCCAATTGACTAACAACTGGGTTTCTACTTACTGCTAGGTAACCGGAACCGTATGGAGTAAGGAAACTTGCCCAACATTTCACCGTGCCAGGGATCGAACCCAGGTCTCTCTATCATGGGGCTGCAGCAAATCTGCACTATAAACAGACCCACAATAAATTACAGTATCTTATAATGGGGGAGTATTGTAACTTGCATGGAGGCTGTGAATCACGATCAGGTATGTATACAACTCATCACTTGTGTCTCTATTTATATGCAATAACATAAGTCAGAACCAAAGATTGCAAGTAAAATGATTTTGGATGGGGCAAGAGGAAATAGAACACCACATCTTCTCGGCTTCCTTTAGCTACTGCTGCCCTTTTCCTTCAAGGCATATTTTTATTACTGAGAGCCTTGGGAGAGGATTGTCAAAATAATGTCCAGTCTGTTCTTGATTGCCCGTTAAAACAGTTGGAACTGTAAGTAGGATTACAATTAACTGGAACATTTTGTAAGTATTGAAATACGTTTGCCTCATTTTTGATCATAAAAGCTATTCAGGTTTCCCAAAACTAAAGCCGACCACAACCAGCAGCAAGCAATTTGTTGGGATAATGTACATATATTTTTAAAAAATTCAGTGGGGATGGTAAAAAAAAAGTGGTACTTTAACATGTTAGTAGGATAAGGGTGTACACACACAATATTCTTTGAGCCAAGTTCCTGATTGTCAATTGTATAGTCAGGGGTGGGATGGGGTGGGGAGTTATTGAACAATAATTATGTTTTTCACTGTAGGAAGAGATTGGGCAAGCAGAATACAATTTAAAAGCAGGATTGGTAGAAGACTAGGAGGAGAATTAACTGATTGTTCTCCTAAAGTATTACAAGAGACGTTTGGATGAAGAAGACTCATCTGATTTTGTCCTTCCAGAGTACAAATTCTACTCGATGTAGCTATTGTAAAGAAATACTTCCTGGTACCTGTCTTAAACTTATCATTCACAACGATGAACCTGTGTCTCTGGTCATGTTATCTTGGCATAAAGAGGCATTGTTCTGGATTTCCTTTCTCCATCTGTTAAGCACCTCTACAAGGACGTCTCGATGATTAGGCGAAACAGCATTTGTCTATCTAGCTTAACTGTTGGGTTGGTGGTGAGCAAGGTCTCCTTGGAGCTGAACAGGCTCCAAGGTGACATGTTTAACAATGGAATGTTGGAATCGAGCCCTCTATGGCGCTCTTAGTAGTCCAATTCCTGAGCCAGGCAGGTCCATGGTATCCCAGGCAATGCTGATGACAGCACAGCCAATCTGGCTCATCGGCAGGACATGGACGGGGTAGGGAATCCTTCCATTCATTTCCTGTTAACCCTGCAAGCCAACACGGTAATGGGTAGGGTGTTCTCAGTTGGACAAGCAGCATGAAAGCTTGCCAGACAGTGCTATCAATTTGCAGTTTTAGCTGGTTAGACTCCATCAGTATCCCCAACGAACACTCTGGGGTCCCCAAGCCTTGGCTCTTGCCAACTTGCAGCAGAATTACGTAAGCGGGATGCATCCCTCCAAGGAAAGAGTGTGCATTTGATTCCAACAATCTATCTCTGAGATTTACATGTGTAGGTGGGATGCATGGAAATCTCAGAGTCTTAAGAATAGAATGTGTTTTTTTTTAAAAATGGCAGACAGCTATAAATTCCAAATCATAAATAATTCACACGGTTACAACAGACATTCTACGAGTGGTAAAAAACAAATATCCTGATCAGGTTCCGCTGGTGAATGGTTATTTATCTGCGACTTATCTCTACTCTCCAACAACCACCACAGGAGTCAACTGAGAACTATCAAGACAACTAACAGTTAGGTCCCCGAGATATTGAGGTCAAGGTTCTGAGCACAAACAAAAATCTGACTAGATTTATATACCCTACTTAAATTTTAAATTTGGATTTATTGAGGTTTGTCCAAGTTGCTGTGGTTTGCTCTTTTGAGGCATTTTCACAGAAAACTGGAATTTTCAACTCGTGTTCCTAATCACTATCCAAGACTCCTGCTGGACAGACTCTTGCATCCCTAATCTGAGCCATGCTGCCTTGGGGTGGTATTGTGTTGAGACACAGCTTTTCCTACCATGAGGGAGACACACCTTGAAAAAAGGTCATACTTGGGCTTCTCTTGGGCACTCTATTGTTTGTATATATTGAATGAGAAGAGAATTGAGCTTGGCTGTGGTGCCCCAGGATTAAATAACATTCCAACCCTCACCATCTAATCTCATATATTAAGAATATAATCGTAAAATCATTGAAATTTACAGTGCAGAAGGAGATCATTCAGCCCACGTAGTCTGTATCAGCTCTCAGAGCAATGAGTGAGATACTAAAGGGCTGCTATGTGTGCGTGGAACCATATCCCAGCAAGTCAGTGCCTCCAGGAGAGCAGGAAATAAAGAGACCGGCTTAAAGCCAGAATGAAAGCTCGTAGCCAAAATACATTTAATGGGTTAATGAATCTAGAAACGTAATGTAGTGCACACTAATCATACACTAAATTTACTCTTTGAATGGAATGAGTCAGAAGTTAATCCACATCATGGGAAGCAAAACTTAATTAAACGCTTTAGGGCAGTTTCTTTGAAAATGTCTAAATAAATAAGGGCCACATCTAGGTTATGCAACAAAATCCTGAAGGTGGCTCTGTTCCCTTCTAACAACATTTGCAAATACACACATACACACACAAGCGCACAGAGGCTTGCTCAGACACATACACAGACTTTTTCAAACCAAGACCAAGCCAGCTGCTGTGAAGTATGGTGGAAATAATGCTCTGTGATCCCTGGGCTGCTGTTATTTATGCATTTGCGTCACTAGAAAAGGAAGTATGGAACTAATTTCTCCAAAAAAACAGATACTTAAACAGCTTTGACAAACACCACCCCCTCTTTGTGACAACGCAATCACTCTTCATAAAATTACTTAAAAGATAAACAAACATTGCAATTTTGCTTTTTACACCAAACAGAATTTTTAGTTTACTCAAATAAACTCCAAATTCATTCTTCTGAAGAGTATAATAACTAGATTCATTACATCTGAACAAGGTTCTCAAATGGGATATGAAAGTGGACCACAGATACTTGCACAAAATTGAAATACAACACAGGGCTACTTGCAAATTATCAATAAACCATTATAATGCTGAGGCGCCATACACAAGCATCCCTAATCTCAGCTGTGCTGCCTTGGGGTGATATTGAGATGCAGCCTTTTCCTACATTGAGGGAGACCGAACTTGAAAGAAGGTCATACTTAGGCTTCTCTTGTCCACTTGAGTACTGTAATGTTTGAATAAGTAATCCTTACATGGTTTAAATTATTAGATACATTTGGCTTGTGTAGTCTTGCGTGATTTTTCAGAGACAAATATCTCTCAACTCTTAAGGACTGAGCTTTACCCTCTTGGTCATGACAAATTAGGGTCGGCTGCAAAGTTCCCTCATGGTTGATTAGTTCGCTGACATCCAATTTAGTCTTACAGATTAAGAAAGGCCACTTGGGCTTGGCACTGGACGGCCTGTATCTGTGGAACCTCACCCCAGCATGAGAATACACTATCAAGAGAAAGCAGAAAAGAGTTTGAGACAACAGGCATACATTTTGCGATGCAAATGTTGACAGGCAAGCACAATTTAGCTCAAACATTTACTGAGTTAAGAAAAAAATATTGATAAGATGTTAGTAAACCTTACATGGCTATTACAGTCAAGTTCTGGAGAAAATTTGTTTTTGTTCATTTTGTCCTCTCTCTAGAACTATGGTTCCACAAGTGCTTGCAACTTTCAAATACCTTACTCCAACGGCCATAAACCCTGGCAGAGTTATCTCTTCCCTAATTCTGAAACAAAGACAAATAACACAATATTTGTGTTTCCAGCGACTTTTGTGTTTATACTAGATTTCCAGCATCTGCCTTACTTTGTCTTTTCTTTAGTTTAATTTGTTGAGGAAGAGAAAAGAGATTTGTGATAGTTCTCATGTTGTTAATGTCTCACTGTAGTTGGTGTCACCTTGCAAATCAATTGTTTTCATCAAAATTGGCTCATTCATTTTGCATCAATACAATACAGCAACATCATAATATGGCAATTGTGATCCCATCCAGGGTTATAACGGTGTATAATTTCTGGTCAGTGCATCCTGATTCACTGTGCATGTGGGCACAAAATCCCATGTGCAGCTAACTTCCTAAAAAATAACCAACTTCTGACTCATCAGGTTACTGTCATCGCTTGAGCAGTAAGTTCGATCACTGGCATCATGGAAGTTGGCTGAAGTTTTGCACGCAAGAAGATGGCTGGCATTTTGAAATGAAATGTCAAACTTTCTGCACATATCTTAGATTTTCTGGTAAGTAAGTGTTGGGATCCATGACCCAATCATGCTATCACCAAACTTGATTTTAATGAGTTCCAATCTATTTCGTACATCAGCCCAATAGCCAACTTACCCACTATTAGCTTCTGCAATGCAGCTTTATCTCCATTGACCGCTGCAGCATGGATCTGGGATGCTAGAGTTGACCCATTAGGCAGCCAGTTCTCTGTGCTATTCATACTTCTGTCAGATCGAGTCAGGATTCCAGCCTAGGTAAATACCAATGAAACTTCAATCAATTAATATTGTAATCACAGAAACAGCATGCACTTTTAAAGTAAAGTTCCTAAATTTAAACTCCAAAATCCCTAAAGATTGGTCTAGGATTAGGATTTTTTTCAAAAAAAGGACAAAATTGGAACCACTGGGAACTTTGTATAGTCATGACAATTTATTGGAGCTATTCTACTGTTATTTCTTGGAACACAGAAATAATGAAAAGTAGTCTGGGGCATTAAGAGAATATTTCAGGAAGATGGTGCTATACAGCTAAAGATATGGACCTTTTTAAGGTGAGTATCGGTTCCAGTTAAGAACCACTGAAACTGAAAATGATGGGACCATGTACAGGGAAACCTGATTGCAAGAGTGACAGAAGCCAAAAACATGAATTGATAAGAGAACAGGTCTTCTCAAGGCTGGGCTGGTTCCAATGTTACATGCTTTGCAACAATATTGGAATTGAGTTGATCCTCTGTAATAACAGTATTCATAAGTACAATTATAGTGGTTCATATGAAAGGAAACAGTTGGGGAAAGGAAAATACCATAATGTTGGATCCAGCATGCTCATGTTGGTGTTCGTAAACAAAAGTGTTCAGTCAGTTTGTATTGGGTTATCCAGACTGAAGACAACTCATACAGAACAGTACATTATGAGAAAAACATAGCTTCAAAGCAAGCCTGGCTCCAAAGTGAAGTGCGTCAGAATTGGCAACATCTTTTGACCTTGGATACCCCCTCTGAAATCCAGTTCCTTATGTGCGCTACAATCTGAAGCACTTAGTTTTTCCAGGGTGACATACATCAAAGCAGATAGATTTTTAAATCAAAATGCATGAGTGACATAAAGACTGAATCGCATCTGTGATTATGTGTGAAATTGATTTTAAAATGTTATGTGTGTAATCATTATGATTACACTATACCCAAGGTTTCGTCCTACCGTTAATCAAACCTAGTTCTCTCGCTTTCCAGATGAGTGCTCTAACCACTGAGCTACAGGATTCCTTAGCTACAGGATGTTTTGAACAGATTGCCTGTCTATTTTCTCAATTCCACATTACAACTGGTTGGGATAAAAGAAGTGTATATCATATCCACTACCCTGATCTGGTACAATCACAACCCTGGTCACAAAAGTTGTGCTGCAATTCTCAGGAGCATTTTAAACTCTACAGGAACCAAAGAGTAAGCAGGCCTACCGGATTGACTGACTACCAGTGAGCATTGTGAGAAAATTTGGTTCAACTTTCCATCTCTGCCAAGATTTATAATATAAATAATATTGTGCAAAGATTCTTACAACACATAATTGAGCACTCCAGTCAAACACTGAGAAGAGGTTGTAAACCATTTATGGGGTAAGCTTTCCATTTACCCAAATACAATGACTGAAGGACTATTTAGAAAACTATAATTTAAAATGCATTGGTGAATTACCCTTCTTTTATCCCAAGAATGTGGGATATTTTAATGTGGAATTGAGAAAGTAGACAGGCAATCTGTTCAAAACATCCTGTAGCTCAGTGGTTAGAGCACTCGTCTGGAAAGCAAGAGACCTAGGTTCAATTAACGGCAGGCAAAACCTTGGGCAAAAAACACAATAATAAATTGGTCACTTCAATCCACGACTGTTTGTGGGACACTGCTGTGTGCAATTGGCTGCCACATTTTGCCCACAAATATGCAGTCAATTCACTTTACAGTATATTGTGTGAAGGGCTTTGAGACGTCTAGAAGACGTGTAAAGCGCTTCAAATGCAAGGATTATTATTATTATTTATTATTCTTATCTGGTAGACTGCTTGAGAATTTCTGCTGGAGCTTTGTTAGACTCATCCTGAGAATTTCTCAACTTTTCATTTTTTTTTAAATAGCTGAGCGCTGTAAGCCTAGAGAAGGAAATCAGCACTAGGACCTAGCACATCCATTCTAGTTACTGACAGGCTGTGATTGAAGTTTTGCAAATTTTCCCAGATGGTAAGGCTCAGCAGGATTCCCGGATACTGTAGAGTAGACGGAGCATTGTGCATTGAGAGAATAGTGGAAGACAAACGAGAAGTGGAACACAATTAGAATAAAGAGAAAATGAGAACAGCAGCAATAAAGATGCAACTGAAAAAAAGTTTGTTTTAAAAATGTTTAATTAAAAATAATAGATTATGATTGCTTTCTATTAAAATGAATGCTGCATCCATTTCCATAGCTAGGTGCTAAAACATGACACACACGTTACTAAACCTTGGTTCCCTTCACAACCTGTAGCTCTGTTGCAAGTATGTCAACCTGGCTCAGTTAGTAGAACCCTCACCTCTAAGTCAGAACCTTGGGACTTCGAGTTAAGTTCAGGCTAACTCTCTAATGAAGTACTGGAGAGATGTTGCATTACTGGGGGGTGTTGTGCTTTGAATGAGACATTAAACAGAGGTCTCACTTGGCTATTCAGATGAACATTAAAGATCCCATGGTACTCCTGTATGTATTCAAAAAGAGAAGGCAGATTCTGCTGGTGTCCTGGGAAACAATTCCCGAGATAAAACTGATCATTCACTTCAGAGCATTTTGTGGGACATTGCTGTGTTCAAATTGGCTACCACATTCACCTACAAAATACAATTTACACTTCACAGTAAATCCTGTGAAGCGCTTTGAGACATCACATGAACTGAGAGGTGTTTTGTCAAATGCAAAGATATTTATTATAAAATTAATGTGCGAAGAGTACAGTGGCAGGGGGAGGAGGGAAGAGCATAAGTCAAACACGGATAGATCAATAATGCAAGAGCAGTTGTATAGCATCACTGGCAGAAGCTGGGAAGCAAATCTCTGACCTACCTGTCAGTTTAAACAGGTACAAGGTGTTGAGAAATTGGGGGACAAAAAGAGTAGGAAACAGAAATAAAGTAAAAAAAAAGAAATAAAATAAGTAAAAAGTGAAGTTGACACAGTAAGATGGATAAAGAATGGTCGCCACGGTTGTTGCACTGTACCTCTTAAGAGAATTTAGTATCTTGAGATCTTTGAGAGCAAAGCTGACCTTTTAATTTTATTAGCTCATTTTCTAAGAACATAAATATACCAAAGTTGATCATTTTCAACCAGTTTTATATAGGTCTTCCTAAAAATGCTTACATTTGATATAGCACTTTATCACATCATTGAAATGCTTCAAAGTGTTTCACAGAATTTACCGTAAAGTGGAGTGACTGTATTTGTAGGCAAAAATGAGTTTAAACAAAATATCAAAGTTCCTGTACAAGTTTTGCTCTTGACCCCTAATTTGCCCACAGTCTGAGGTAACTTTATAACCAGAACAATTAAACCCAACATAACCAAGCCAATAAACAATTAAAAAAAAATTCCCTGGCCCAAAGAATATCTGTGGAGACATGCTCTCTAACCCATTTATTATCTGCATTAACATTACTATTCAGTTTGAATGAATCTCATAAAAACAGTAACAAGTGCTAAAAAAAATCTGGGATTTCCTAAATTCTTTTTCCATGCCTATTTTCTGCTCCTGTAATTGCAATTTAATTTCTGTGCAATTATTAGATGTTTTTCTTATTAATGCAATGGAATATATGAAAAACCTAGTAGGGAGTCCACATACTTTTGGTATTTTGTGAACTTTCGTCATTTCTGATATGGCACTGAACTACCCCAACCAACGTCATAGCTCTACCACATCATTACCAGAGCATTCACATTTCAGCACAATTGCGTGACAGCAGCTCCTCAATTACTCAGCCTTCCTCCCACTGCCTTGAACCTTAACAAATGCTCTGGAATGCAGCAAGACTCCACAAGAAACGGTTGAGACACATCTGTGCCAAAAAAAAGTTTTAAAGGTAAACAGCGATTTCTACAACTGTACAGCAGAATTGTCATGTTGTTGGGTATAAAATACTCTACAAATTTTCTTTCAATTGTGAGCTTTATTTCAAACCCAGCAGTTATTCTCAGACAACAATCAAATCTACTCAAAGCAGGTTAAGAGATCCCCATCTACAGAAGCCTTGAGCCCAACTGAACCAAGTATAATATTAGAATCACTTACGCTCAGTCTTGACCAACTAACGATAGTTTAGAGTGTCAGAACAAACATTTCACAGGTAACCTTGCACTTCATCTTGAAGGCCAAATGTTTATGACAAACAGGAATGTCAGGACAACCAACCTTTTCTCTACTCAAAACGTTTAAAGAAACAGTGGATGCACAAGGATTTGACACCTTTCTGCTACTCTCCTCACAAACAGTTTTCAATATACAGTGTAAGCCGGATACATCAGGGCTGGCTGTTATGTGCGTATTAAGCGGCATTCAAGGTTAACCGAAATACCATTACCTCTTCCTGCCAGCAGAGCCTCCTCCCTCCCAATGGACGGAAAAGTGACCAAATAGCGGCAGCTCCAAGGTGATTGACAGCTGAGCTGTGCGTGAATGGGTGGAGCCCAAACATTCACAAGTAGCTGCAGGCTGTCAATCAAACACAATTTTATTCCTCCCATCCCCTCTCTTGTTGTTCCCCATTCCTTCACCCACTCATTGATTGACATCCCAACTCCAGCGGCTGGCGTCCGCTGTCAATCAATCGCAATTTGACTCCTCCCATCTCCATCCTGGAGCCACTCGGCTGAATGGAGTCGCTCAAGACACAGAGTCCGCGAGTGAGTACACTCAGCAGTGACTAGCGCGGCATTTTGTCCGCATTAACCGGATTGTATTATGAATTAACCAAATTTTTAAAACAGGTAAGAATACAAATGAATCGAGACCAGGCGCTTTGTCCAATTTACCCGACGTCCAAGGTTAACCGGCATCCAGTTAAAGCGGCTTCAACTGTACGTAAAAGGAAGGTGAAATGTCAAATTCTCACATTGTGAAAACCACAAAATCTCTCATCCACTGATGAACCTTCCACTTGCATTTCATTGATAAGATACTTCTCATGGTTTAGTGCTACAACAATGTGGAAATCCGTCT